CCCTTTTGTGAAAGAACTCCTAGCCTTTTCCTAAGTATCAATCTGAACAACCGGTGCTAGTATAGGCGCTTGCTGAAGCGGTGGTTGATTCCAAAGTGTAGCTGTCACACCTGCTTCTATAGCTTGAGCAATGAGGTCATTGATATGAGGAGGATACTCTGGATCTTTTCCTTGATCTTGAGTCTGCTGAACTTCCTCCTGCTCCTCGTGGAACTGACCATCATCATCCTGAAACTGCCTACGGGCCGCTTCCCTTCGTCGTTGATTGTTCTGTCTGTTCTAGCGTTAACCATTCTGTTAACATAGAAAGACAGACATCAGTACGATTTAAACCAAACCGTAAAGGAATACAATGAATCCTAAACTTAAGCTCTAAACAAGAGAAAATGCTACGCAGAAGTCTTAAACAATAGAATCCTAGAGACACTGAACCTAGAATGCTCTGATACTAACTATGATACCCCTTGATTCTAGAGCTACGGGTGATCAAGTCCGAGCACAGATCCGAGGGATACCAAACAATTAATATGTAAATAAGCACGGAATACAAAACTAAAATAAAAATAAGATAATAGGCTGAAAGAATTCTAAATTAAAAATCATCAAAATACTATTATCAAAATCCAATGATCCAAAACCTCTATTTAATTTAACAACTCGGGAATCCATCTTGTGGACCCCCAATAAAATCCCAAACTAAAAAGGAAACAACTGAAACAAAATATAAAGCTAAACATGGAAAGCAATCCTACGTAGTCGGAGGAGTGAGTGTCTGTATCTACTCTGGGCGACCAAGCTCTAACCCTAGAACTGAAGAACACCTGAAAAAAAATAAGAGTGGGTCAGGCCCACATGCAAGTTCTATCCTACTACAATCCATACACAAACCCGATACGCAGATACATCCTAGATAGCTTAACAATTACTAGAATAATCCATATATGTATAAATGCACACTATAGGATGCTCACTAGCCCAATAGGTCTGTCTCAGTTAGAGTAGAGATACCATGCAAATAGCACATAACGTGGTCATGAGTACCTAAAACTACCAGGGAACGGCAACTAGGTCCAGTTATCCATCCTAGGCGATATACGCACCCTAACCATGATCCTGAGACTCAAGCTCATATCATGGCACTATAAACATAAATATATAAAGTCCGTATAAGCCTAATACAAAATATCATCCATCTGGTATAGTGGCCTGACATATATATAACAATCCATCTAGAAAACCAAAGTATGTCATTCAATTGTTTATTGACATGACACAAATATGAGTAGGACTTAACCTTTATAGTTAATCCATACCTCAATCCAGAATAGGTAGGACTTAGTGTTTGAACTAATCCATTCCTAGTATGCTACCGTCCCATACTGGTGCATACAATCCTCCAAATAACATAACTGATAAAAAAGTAATAGGTATTCATCAACCATTCTCCAAGATATGCATAAATAAAGTTTAATACATATATGACGATATTAGGCATTCATTATAAGACCTAAAAATCATGTTCCAATCCTTTAAATTGCTAAAATAAATCTAAGCATTTAAATCCTCCAAACCGTCCATAAATTGATACAGTTTACAGCAAATTAAATACCAATTTAATCCAAACCAAGCATAGTTAATTTCAGATAATACACTATACTCATAACTCTATTAAAATATGACTAAACAGTATAAAATCATATACAAAAGAATCTCTAAGTTTCAGTAAATAAATTAACGAATAAAACAATGTATAATATGTAGGTTTTTCCTTAAATTCATATTGCTCCATTCTTTAACCCATTTATGAATTAATGCTTCCCCATATTTTTTACAGGTCCATAGCAATTACTTACATCATTTAATGCAATTTATACGGATTTAAAATACCCTATACAGCCCAAACAAAATTTTAAAACCGTTAATACACGTTTCTGGGCGAGAGCAGGCTCTCAAAAGTTGAGAGCCTGTTCCAAACACTTGGGAGCCTTCTTCATAACAATGGGAGCCTACTCTAAGGAGTTGGAAGCCGGCTCCACACTCCTGGGAGCCGGCTCCATCATTGAGGGAGTTGGCTCCCTCATTCAGGGAGCCGTCTCTCTCTCTCTAAGAGCCGTTATACCTGTTCTAATCGTCTTCTTCGCCTCCGGCGCTATCTAAACCCTCTGTACTACTTATATATATGTTATTAGGGTTTAATCTCAGTCCCAGATTAATCATAAAACATTGTTATACAACCACGACATGAATTGAACACAAGCTTTAAAACAACGGCAACAGGATTCAGTTAAAAACTTTAAGAAAACTTAAACCAGTTTAATTCAGTGAGATTTAATACAGTTTAATCATGCATAAAAGATATGTTTAGCATTAATTTAATACCTGGAGTCTACCTAGGCAAGCATAGAACACAGGTTTAAGGGAAGGAGTTAGAATAGGAACTTGCCTTCAGATTTCCGTTCAAAACCTTAAACCTCCGTCTCTGAGTTTTTCGACCACTTCCTAGACTGCCGTTCTACACCTCCATTGCTCTTGGTTTAACCTAGAAGCAGTCTATCCCGTCTTCCTTGAACCCCTCTGTTAATCCTCAAGTTTCACTCTCTGTTTCTCTCTACTTCTCAAAACTTTCTGTTCGTGGAGCTTAATTTATGTCTTAAACCCTAGACAGACATAATATGATAATATATATAGGCGTCTCTGAAAACCTAATTTTAATACTACACTAATTATAAGGCGGTTAACCCACGATGCCATAAAACACAAAACCCTAATAGTATTTTATGTCGTTAAACAATTAATAAAACAAAGTTAATCAATTAAAACAATTAATTCATTTAACTAAAATAAAGAATACAATTAAACCATTAAACAATTAAAACATGTAATTTCATTAAATAAAACAAATAACTCAATTAACTCAATTAAGCAAATAAACATATAATCAAATAAAAATACCCTAAAACAATAATTAAAATGCCGAGACTATCCTTTTAAAATTAGGGGTATTACAATCACAAACCATTAATGGTGTTTTAAGGACTAATGTATATTTTGAGTACTTATGATAGGTATGACATTTCATGACTGTAAATGAAGAAGAAATCAGAGGGAACTTAAAGTCAATCAATGCTCATGTATTTCAAGAAGATGCAAAGGTTAAAGCAAATTCAAGACACGATCTTCAAGTCTCAAAGAGGAGGCATCGAGACGAGAAATGATCAAAGCCAGAGTTTCAACAACGGGGTATATAGGTTTGGCGAGTGTTAGAATTCAATATCGAAGTAATTTACGAATTCTTTGAAGCTCATCTCTATCTAGGATCATGCAATCATCATATCATCATAGTTGAGCATTAAAACATGATATAATCATAATATATTATCTACACCTTGTTAAATGATCCAACGGAAGGCCAAACACAAATTAAAAGACAAATTATAGTGTTAACAAGAGGCTGACTGGTGACAGTACACAATATGTGTCAGCCATCTGATAAGAAAACAGAGAGTTGGGTTCCAAAAATCAATAATTTCAGCCGACCAAAGAAGTCTATCAACCAACCAACAAGGCACTTTCAGCCGACCAAAAGTGCATCATCGGCTGGCCGACTCTTAAACATATTTGAATCCAACAGCTATATCTGCACTTATTGCTCTCTACCTTCTCTCCAACAGCTAAAATCTGCCTCTCTCTATATATATAATGGGTAAACATTTATGTATCAAACACACAACTTCAAGAGAGCATTCAAGAGCATTGAAAAAGCATTAAAGATCACCACTTGAGCATTAATTTCATCTTTAATCCTCATATCATCTTAGAGTCTTTGAGTTCCATTTGTATTCATCAACACTCTAGTTGTGAGCTTCGATTTGTACATCAATCTTTGAGAGATATATCTTGTACTTTATATTTATTGTTACAAAAATTTGTAAGGGTTGATTTGACCCAAAAGAAAACTAGGAGAAGGTTGTTCTCTTAGCAATCAAAGGAGAAATAAGGTCTTGCTTCTTGTGAAGGTTTGTTCTCCACCCATAAGGAGAGGCCATAGTGGATTTGGGAAAGTCTCAAGAGGATTCTTGAGCCGAGAAGTAGGAGTTTCCGAACCTCACTAAAATCGCTGAGTCATTATTTGCAATTTTTCTTCCTTTATCTCTCTTATAAGTATGCTTTAAATTGCTTATTTAATTTACTTAATTGTTGTATACTTGTCTTAAGAGGCTTGCTAGAAATTAGTCTCATAAATTGCGAAAATTAGCCATTGACTCTATTCACCCCCCTAGAGTCAATTATTGGGTAACACAACTCTCCATTGCCTTCCCCATTTTTAGATCCTCCTCCCCCTCCTACTACTTTTAATCATCCTATGGTCACTCGAGCTAAGTCGAGCATCCGGAAACCGAAAGCTCTCTTAGCCACCAAACACCCGCTACCCTTTTGCCTTTTTTCCACCTTATCTGACATTCCTCTATATCCCACCTTTTTTACAGTTGCTGTTAAACATGCTAATTGTCACGAGGGTAGCCTAATAAACATATGTTATTAAATATTATAATAAGAGCTCATCCTTATGGACAGGCTTGTGCTAATTTGAGGATGCTTTAATAATTAAGGTAGTAGTATAATGAGAGGGTTCTCAGGGTTTTGGAAGGAGATGATTGATTGCATTGATTATGGAGTTTCCTATCTAAGCTTCTTAGTGTGTGTATTTATAATATATAAATAATATTTTGGTCCATTAAAAATGATTTTTAAAACGATAAAATGGTAACTTTAGGATTTGAAGAAGTCAATTAACAAGTTAAAGGGTAATATGGTCAATTTACCTTGTGTCAGGTGTGTCGGGGGAGTCTTTGTTAACTTTATCAAATATGAGAAGTATCATTGTTCAAAAATAGGCCAAGTTGTATCTGGCTGTCAATAGAGCAAACTAGAGGGGTGTCAATGTAATTTACCCTAATTCAAAAGAAAAATAAATATTAAATAATAATAAATAGAAAAATGAGTTTACTTCACTGGTCTTTTGCGAGAGATAAGTTTCTTCTCTGGGCTTAGGGTTTTGATTGGGAACGAAAGCCATCAGCCCCGTTGTGATTGGTTGAAACTTCGCCTTATATCTGTACGCAGCTTCGTATCTCTGATTCTCCTTGTCATTCATATATATATATTTACACATATATAACTTTCTTTGCTAAAAGATCTTGAATTGTTGGTTCTTCTTAGTTTCATGTTTGTTTCTGTAATGAATTTAAGGTAGTTGCAGCCGATCTATTGTCCTTTTACGGTCTTAATTTTGTTGTGGATGACGACAATTGTATGTTTTTGGTTACATTTTGTTTGCTCTGATTTGTATATCAATTTATAGTATTCATACGAATTGATGGTTGATTAACTGCATAGGTCACAAATCCATTGATTGGCTTTAAACGAGTCACATACACAAAGCCCATTGCTTTACATGGTGGTTTGTGAGATGTATGCCTTAGATTTTGAGAGCACAGCTATATGCCAGCCTAAACCTGGACTAGGCAATTGTATGGGCTAATTATGTGGAAAAAGGAGCATGATTTGAAGTTTTTAGTGTTATGCAGACTACCCTGCTCTCCTCATTTCATGAAATACTCGTTTGGAAGCAATTCATCACTTGTCGGAAATGAAAAAAGACACGTGTGAACTCTGAATTGTGATTTTGTTGAGGATAACTTCGTAAAGGCACAAGAATATTTTGGTCTGCTTAAATAAATTTAGGGCATAGCAATTTATGGATCCGGTTTCAAAACTTACAATTTATGTCAAAAAGCAGGCTCTGATATATATATTTGGTATAGTTGAATATACTATGGTGGAGACATGGAACTTTGAGAGTCAAACATGCCATGACTATATATTTGTTTGTTATTTTGTAGACTGGGAGCACTCGTTTTACACTATTTTTTGTACATTTCAAATTGGTGTGAAATTTTGAGTTGGACAGTTCTGGTATGAGATGGAAAATATTTGGTCCATGCCATCATCATATGAAGACTTACATGTTTACTTCCATTATTGAGCATACAAGATGATTTATTATTTGGATACGTTACTTTTGTCAATAATTTTTTTATATACGTTACTAGTGTCTACATCCATTTTTTGCTTGACTGGTGCGCAGACATTGAAGTATCTCTCATTAAGATACTACTTCTGTTTTCAGTATTACGTGATTAAGCCAGTCATTTGTACCTTTGATGCATCAACTGTTTTATTTTGTAATGTTTAGGTGAATTTTGTCTACACTTTTGAGAGATGAGATGCATATTTTACATGTGGTGTTTGTTGTCAACCTTTCGTCTCTTTCTTTCTTTTTTCCCCAGTAAAAACATTATGGAACAGGAAGAGTATCGTTGTTTTATTGGGAACCTTTCGTGGTCAACATCTGATAGAGCTTTGAAGGAAGCATTTGAAAAGTTTGGCCATCTTATTGAGGCAAAGGTATATATTTAGTGTTCTTCTTTCGTAAGTAATTTAGCACTTAAGTTCGCCTCTCAGACAATCAATGCTATCTGCCCATATCTACGTAGTGATACAAGTTCGAGTAATGTACACACGGTTCTTTGTAGGAAAAGGATGGCTAATATTAATAATCTTTTTGTAATCGGTAGCAAATTGAAATTCCTTCCATAATCCTTTAGGGTGTTCAATTACAATTTTCATTTTGAAGTTGGAAAAAACTAGGGCTTCTGATGTTAGTTTAGGCAAAATTAGCATATTCCTTTATGAAATTCATATTTTGTTTTGATTGCTACTAGATTTGGATTTTATGACAATTTCTTAAATTTTAAAAAAGTTTATGAATTAATGACTGGAGGAGAATGTGTTAGCTTATAGTTGAATGGTGCTATACCAACCAGAATATTCTTAGATTTGCCTTCCAACACAAGGACAGTGGTGGCCAACAATCATACAAAGATGAACACTGCCCTTTAACCCAAACTTTGAAGTTTCATAGCATGCCCTTTAGTGCCAAAAATCAGGGTTGTCTTTCAACTTCTGTCTTGAATGGAACTCATTTGCAAGCTGAAATATTTCCTTATGAATTAGACCATTGATTTAGCAGTTTCCTTGTGTGAGATTTGATACCTTTTACCTTCTGCTTTTCCCCCTTTGGACTTATTGTTATTTACGGAGTATTTATTTGTTATTATTATTATTATTATTATTATTATTATTATTATTATTAGTTTTTTGGAAGGGGTAAATGAAGCTCCTAACTTTTTTGGCATTGGCCTTATTTCAGGTTGTTCTTGACAAGTTTTCTGGTCGTTCTCGTGGATTTGGGTTTGTTTCATTTGATGACAAGAGATCAATGGAAGATGCTATTGAAGAAATGAACGGTATGGATTTAGATGGGCGATCTATTACTGTTGATAAAGCTCAGCCGAATCAGGGCTCGGGTAGAGAACGGGAGGGGGACCGGGACCGGGATCGGGACCGTGGTCGTGATCGTGATCGGGACCGTGGTCGTGATCGTGATTATGCTAGTGGACGAGGATCAAGTGGTGGGGAGTGCTTCAAATGTGGCAAACCTGGACATTTTGCCAGGGAGTGTCCATCCAGTGAAGGAGGAAGGGGAGGTAGATATGGTGGGAGAGATGATAGATATGGAGGTGGTGGTGGTGGCGGTGGTGGCGGTGGCAGTCGGTATGGGCCCGATCGTAATGGGGATCGCTTCAGTGGGCGGAACAGAGATGGTGGTAGTCGTGGAGGGTCAGGAAATGATAGATCTAATCGTGATCGTTCTGGTCCATACGAGCGCCCTGGACCAGGGGGGTTTCGTTCTTGATGAAGTGAGTTCTCTGATACATGGTATGCTGCTTCTATTATTTTGTGCTTATTTTTCGTGAGTACTATTGCTAATTAATGGTAGCATCTTTATTTCTATTTCAGATGTCTCAAGTGAAGCTAGTGCTGGTGTAAACGGATTGTCAACATCAAATGATAGTTTGGTCGATAATTTCTTCTCTTTTTCAAATCTCTTGTCTGTGAAACACTTTTATGCCAGTTTCAGGATTGGTATGTGCTTGCTTTGTTCAACTGTTTTCAGTTTGTTTGAGTTGCTCTTGTTGCATACTGGGATTAGTTACTATTTGAGTGTCATTAGTGCTGCTGGACTATGGATGATTTGCTAGCACGTTGCATACTCTTCTGGATTCTCAATTTGATGTTGATGTTGGTGAAATCATGAGTTGGTATCCATTGCATTTACTGCAGACTCACAGAGTGGTAGCTGGAGTTTGCTTCTTATCACGATGGAAACTGTATAGGATTTAAAAATCATTGTTCCTTTTGCATTCACTCTTCAGCGAAAGTTGGATTTGAATTGAATGTGTACGGAATTAAATAGGGTAATTTTCAGTCTCTTATGTTACTGTACTGCATGCCAATTTTTGTTTTCATTTCTTATGATATTGATTATTTTAACCTTTTGGCAGGCTGCTTGGCCTTTCATGGTCTTTGTGATTCATGATTCGGTTTCATTGTCGCTAGTCATGCACTGCTAAGACATAGTTTTAATTAATTAAAAATGTGAAATCCTTTTCTGCTGCATCAACAAGCAATCTGCAACTTTTCCTTGGAGTAAGCTATTTTCTCCAGCATGGGGCATTAACAGAAGGGGTTTTAAACTTGTCAAAGTTGCATTTTGTTTACAAGTTTATGACTGGATAGCAACAGTGGTTGGTCATCCTTGTTATGTTCTTTGTCCCTGCACTGCTCTTCTAATGGAGAAGATTGTGGCCCTTCAAGGTGTTTTTTTCCATTTCCTTGAGATGCAGCATCCGTGTTTTGATAGCGGAGGTCAAGGCTGGTAGATAGTTGTTCCTTTTATCTTTTTCTTTTTTTTATTATTATTTTTATTTTTTACAGTCACATCAAATCTCCATCTCTATTCCCATTCAAGTTGAGGATTGAATTACCTTCTAAATATCTGTCTGGGAACTGATGCGTTGATTTACCTTTTTTAGTTTCATGGAATGACAGATTTTGGTTCCTGTGGAAGGCAGATATTTGGTTTTCCTGAATCCTCATCTGGCTTCTTATTTATGGGATTAAAATGATGATGTCAGCTGTTTGGAAACTAAACATAAACTTTAATGTATTAGTAGTTTCACAATATTTCTTGCACTGGTTTACAATTTGCGTTTTGTTTTTCCACCCCTCCTTTAACACTTTTATGTTCTGCACACTTTCTCTTGCTTGCATTGTGTTAGGTCCACCTATTGTGTACTGTTGGCTGTTATGTTATGGACTACCTTGAGTGCCTTTTGGTAGTCTGGACAAGTGATTTTCCATGTGCTTGCTTGGTGTTAAGATTATATGATTGAATTCATCTCTCTCTCTCTCTCACACACACACACCCTTTGTTATTTCATCCTTCTCTGTTGAAAGGATTCTGTATTTACAGTACCAGTTATTTGGTCACTGTCGGAGTGTATACTAAATATATGTATACTGTAGTAGTTTTTCTCTCGTTTTTATGGTGGTTCTGTCCAAATTACTAAATATCTTATACTGGGAGTTACCTGTAACTGTTATCTTGCTTTGCACTCTCTTTTAATTCTATATTCTTTCTTCCAAGTAAGATGCATAATCTTTCTGTATGTGCATCTCTTGCCTCTTAAATTTCCCTGCCAATTTTTGCTCTTTTCTTTTTTATTTTCCAACTATTGATCCAGATCAATCTTTTTGGCAGAAATGTGTATGGATCCTTGTATTAGATCATGCAATCTTCAATTGATTTATAAACATTTGTTGATATTGAATTCATTCCAACTCTTTTCTTGATGTAAGGAAGTCTTGATTTTTTTCCCGATGTTTTCAATGTGGAGAGAATTTATTAGGTATGTAATTACTTGACCTTGTCGTGTAGCTTCGTGTTTCTTGCCATATGATTGCTTGGGTTTATTTCTACTTTCGAGCTGTTGCTTGAAAAAAATCAGTTGCTTTCAGATCTCTCTCTCTCTCTCACATTTCGTCTCTCACATTTTTATTATTTGTGGTAAGGTTTGTACTTTATTTTGGGCATGCATGAGCATATATTGATTGTGCACGTTATTTAATTTTGTTATTGAGGACAGACTACCCTCAGGATTTTATTGACGGGGTTAGGTTTGTTCTTATTTTGGGCATATGCATGAGCATATATTGATTGTGAATGTTATTTAATTTTGTTCTGGAGAACAGACTAAATGGATTGGGTTTAAATTCCCTCAGAAAGTTTAATGTCCTAGGAAATTGGGGAGTTCTGAACTCTGGTACAATGTCTATGAAATGTGTGTTGCATCTAGATAGCAGGCTTGCAGCAAAGTGATTATTTTGTATTTGTTTATGAATAATAATTAGTAGTATGAAAGAGTGGGGATGATATCATCGTGGCATCATTAAAATGATTATATTATAGTGACATCATCCCTTATCCACATAGATTTAGTAGGACACATCCGACTCTCGAAATTAAATCATTACTCATTATCTATTTTTGAAAGTTAAAATACATACTGCAACATGACTCTTGCTGAAAGGAGAGGTTATATCAACTAGGTAGGAAGGAGATAGGCTATTGGTCCCGTGGTTTTTTTGTATCTGTTTTGGTAAGTAGTCCAAGGGCATTTCTCATATTGCAATGCATGGTTTCGAATTAGATGGATGAAAGTGAAGATTGGTAACACACTTGCACTTTGATTCATGGGTTAGCAATGGGCCAGCTGTTTAGTAATTGAGGAATGATTGGTGAGAGTTGGAATTGAATTTGTTGCTGCAGATTCATCTTTCAAGGCAAGTATTTAGCCCATTTGGACCACCACGAATTTTCCTTTGCGAATGGAAAATTATGTTTGTTGTGAGGCTTGTGGCATGTCAACAGTCACAAGGGAGTGGTGAGATATCCATCACTCGTGGTGGACTCCACAAGGAGTTGTGAGAGTTGTGAATTGAGTGTTGCGACTGCGATGATTACATCATCACTATAGCTGGACTCTACAAGGAGTGTGGAATTGTGATAAGGAGTTGGACTCTACAAGGAATATGTGAGGAGTTGGGACTTTACAAGGAATGCGTAAGGAGTTGTGAGTGTTCGCCTATAGCTCAAATAATGAGCAACAAATTATGGGAGACTATTTGGACTCTTCCAACTGACAGTCCCACATAAACTGATTGAAAGACGTGCGTTCTAAGCCCCTCCCACTGTCTCTTCCTTCTGATAATAGACAGCAGAATTCATTGCAAATCTCTAGAATTTCCTCCTTTGACCACACAACATATTAAAACATTAAAGGCTAAATGATTGGGTGAATTAGCTGGTTGGGTGAATTAGCCTCGTACAACATTTCTATATATGTCAATTACAGATTTAATGCAGTGTAATCCACCCTTGATTTGTATTCCATATACATTTTACAATACTTTAAATATATGAATCAATATAACAGTCATAGAGTTAGAGATTCTTCAGTTACTTTTCTTGGTATCAGAGCATTTTGACTCTAGCGCGAATTGTAGATCTTGTAATTCAAAAGATGGCTTCTTCTTGACCATCACCACTACTTTGTCATCATCACATGCTTCTAATACCCTAGTTTTGTCAAACGTCTCAAATCTAGTTCCAATCAAACTAGATCAAAACAACTATCATGTCTAGAGAGCACTTTTTTATCCAATTCTTTGTGCCTATGATCTTCTGGATTTTGTTAATGGTTCTATGCCCTGTCCACCTTAATTCCTTATGGAATCTGATGGAAAAATCTCCACTACCATCAATCCCAAGTACACGAAGTGGATTATCAAAGATCAACACCTACTTACATGGATCAGTGCCACTTTATCTAAAGCTATTTTACCATACATTGTTGGTGGACTTCCATCTTCACAAGCTGTTTGGTTAGTATAACGACTCTGGATTTTTTTCAACCGAGTGTTCTGTGATGACCTGAACTGGATCTAAGATGCGGAAGCTAGAAACAATACAACGGTCTCCCAAGGTACAACACACCTCTAAGACCCTAAGATGACCTTCCATGAGGTCACGGAACCCAAAGAGATAAGTGCGGAAGCAAGTGATCGGAAAAGTAACAATTAAGCCCCCAGGGATAAAATAGTCATTTATGAGAATATAGATTCTGGTGTCACCGAGCACACCACTGGAAAAACAACGAAACTAATCAAGATGGACTCAAGAATCACATGATTCGGAGTCCGGACGAAGGAGAAATGACAAGACGAAGAAAAACGAGCACTTAAGGCTAAAAGGGTAAAATGGTAATTCCAAACTGAATTGAATACCCCCGTGTATACCATTGGATAGACAATGAAAAATTAACAAAGATGGACTCAAGAATCACATGATTCGGAGTCCGGATGGCAAAGATATCAAGTCCTGAAGTCAAAGGAAGGAAAACCCTATCTAGTTCGAACCAAATTCTGACACTACCTTACTAAAACATGAATAACTTGAACTACAAATGGAATATGGAGCTCTAATTGGTACCATTGGAAATTTTATTTCGACACGGTCAGTTTAGACTCAAGAACGGACCAATTCGGAGTTAAAACGAGTGAGATATGGCCCGTTGAAGAAAGATATCTAGAGTAGGAACTATTCCCGTGGGGGCCCGCCAAAAACCTGCTGGGGCCTGCCAAATGCGGCAGATTCTAGTGGGCGCCCGCCATAACACTGCGGGGGCCAGCCAAATGAGGCAGTGGGGTGGTCTAGAACCTCAAAAAATGCAGAAATAGTATTTTTAGCAAAAAAATGAGTTTGCAACACAGTTTTCGTGATCAAGATGACATTTTTTAGAAAAACACGAAGAAGAAACTCCCCTTAAAATCACATTTTCTATGTGACAGAGACGAGAACGGAATTTATTTCCCAAAAGAAATTCCCAAAATGCCCTTAAGTTAGAATTTTCAACAAAAAGGTGAATGAGTCCATAGGAGGCTCAAAACACAAACGAAAGGGTTTTTTCCAGAAACGATCATGCATGCAGATGTAAATGGTGATTTTGAGCGCGGAGGAATGGTCCACAACTCCCGGAAATGGCCGAGTCAAAATCCGACCCCCCAACGACCTAAAAGGCAAAAATGAACTTAAAATGAAAAATATGGAAACCAAAATTAGGAAATGGTTTCAAATGACCGTTTGGCTCTTGGCCATACTTCATACAAGATTAATGAGACCTAGTAGAGGTGCCGAAACACACTTTACACAACCCGATTTGAAAATGAACCCTTAAAGACTCGGTTTCTACTATTTTAGCCCAAAATGCAATATGTGAACTAAAATGCAAAAATAAATACTAAATGGTGTTTGGCCCTTGGCCACACTTCACATA